GATCCTATGCTACACACACAGCAATTGATACGCACACAGCTTCTGTGAGTACAAACGTGTGCACCAGCACCAGAAGTACAGTAGATAAAGTCTCCTCTGCAGGTGCTTTCATGGGTAGTCGTGGAACTCGTTGTACGCTCACAAATGGAGGTGACAGCAGATGGATCTCTTACGCGTGATCTGCTGGGTTGACGTCACTCACCCGTTGGCTGCCGCAGCTACATACAGATGCACACACAGGGAGAGATGCACACACACAGCTCTGTCAGCTACAAACGTGTGCACCTCCATCAGCAGTACCTGTGAATGTGTGTGCCTATGATGCGTGGTCGTACGTGCGAGCCGTTGTACGCTATACTGCTGTGCATGTAGTCACACAGCAGTCTACTGCTGTTTGTTGGCCATGGTTTGGCTAGTCCACCGCACGTGTAGTCGTATGCTAGGTCAAACTACCCCCCCCTCGAGCCAGCGCGTGGTTTGCTGGGTTCACCACACGGGTGGTATGCTTGGTCCACCGCACGCGTTGTCTGCTGGGTCACCATACGAGTGCCGGGGGGGGGTAAACCCCCCCTCGGACCCCCCCCCTCGAGCCAGCGCGTGGTCTGCTAAGTCGTAATATATGTACTGTATGTTTAGCAATCGTTTGCCTCAGCGATGACGTGTTGACCGCGCCTAATCCTGTAGAGCTTTAGCCGCGGCACTGCCGACAGCGATAGGTATTAGGTTTGGCTTCATCACCCAACATTTTTCTTTCGAATTCGTCGGGTTTTGATTTTTAGAGAATTGAGTGTGAAAGAGGACCATGAAGACAACTAAGGTCCACTGAACGTGCGCCGCCAGTAACAGCTCCGTGGAAAAATGTGTGCGGGCATTTCCCGTCTTGGTGGCTGCGCTTTGAATAGTTTCCTCCGCTCCAGGTGGCCTCCTCGCGGCCGTAGTAAGTATGCCTCCCTGCAAACAATATATTTTCAAGTTTTGCGAGGGTCCGTCTAGTATGTTCCAAGGAGGGCGCATCACGCTCGGTTTACATATGGTTTATGGTACATTGAAATAAAAGAGAGCGTGCGACTGGTATTCCGCGAAGGAGGCAGCCTAACGCGAGGAGTTCCCCCCTGATCTCAATCCCATTTCGAACCTCCTCGTCGTGGTGGTGGTCGCTTACCCCGAGCAACGTGCCCCTTTGCACTTCTTCCGAGCGGGAACGTGACTGCGTTTTGCTGTGTTGTACTGATGATACTGTGTGCATTCTCGACCCACTACTGTATCGATGCACGATTTAGGGGCTCCAGTCTGTCGTCACACAGAAGGGTTCCTCTCTGTCCGTCCTCCTGCGGCGCTGCCTTGGGATTTTCTACGCGACGATGCAATACTATTTTTGGTCCTTCGGTCGCCCCCCTCCCCCCCCCCCC